GTGGGGGGTTTAACCCCTTGCTGTCCTCTCTCCCCAGGGCTATTACTACCTGCACCGTGGCAGCCGAGCCTGTGGGATGAATACCATGTGTAGCTCTGCCCTTGTGGTCTAGGCCCTGCCCCCTCACCTCTTGCCCTGCCCTCTTACTCCCCAGAGAGAACCCAGGTGTCCTCCAAGGGGGGTGGGGCAGGGGCAATCACTGCACTTTAGACTCTAATCTAAGCTTGGGGGTGGGGCTAGACCTCAGGCCCCACCCTTCCATCCCCATTGGCTGCTAAGCCCTGCCCCCTGGTTTCCCAGCATGCCCAGTTCCTCCCAGTCAGAAAAGGTCACTCATACTGGTACTAGCCTTTCCCCTACCAGATAGCAATTGGGATCTCTGGGGGCTGGGCACAGCACGGTGGGAACCCAGGAGTCTGGGCTACCCCTCCCCCAGTGATGGGCTGGACCTACAGGCACTAGGCCCCTGTGCGTGCCCCAGTTCTCTTTCCCAGTTGGACCGAGGGGTGAGAGAGCAGGCCCAGCCCCTCTGCCCCTTCTTGGTGAATGCACACATCTGGCTGGACTGGGGGGGGCAGTTCATGTGCACAAAAGTAGCGTAGATCTCTGCATGCATGGGGTAGTATGCAGGGGTGTGTGCACATGCTGGGAGTAGTGTGTAGATGTGGCGTGTGTGTTCATATGTTCAGGGAATCGTACATGTACATGCGCATAGTGTATACATAGGTGTGGATATGTTTGGATATTGTGCAAGTGTACATGCATGTGGATTGCAGTGTACATGTGTGCACGTTTCTGGTATTATGCAGATGCATGTGCATAGTATACATGCACATTTGGGGTGTACACAGGGGTGTGTGTGTATGTTGACGATACGCAGGCAGTCTTCGGACTTATGACACGACACGGTTTTCAGGAACCGGTAAAGTCAAAACGTTGCAACTCGGACCCAATTTTCTCATAAGAAACAATGTTATAAATGGGGGATTGGTTCCTGAACCAAGGCCAGTACCCTGTTGTCACCAAAAATACCCCAGAATTTTGTACTCGATCAATTATAGATGAGTACTATGGCTCCATTAATGTACTTATATTGTAAATAGCAATCCTCTTGATTTGGAAGGACTTCTTTGAGGTGACTTTGCTGGAGTTTTTGAAAGGATCTGGGGTGGACGTTTTGAAGGGTTCTTGGCCACAGGTTCTTCTGGAGTCTTGTCTGCTTTCTTAAAGAAAGTGTCCCAGGAAGTCTGGACAGACGTTCTCCAGGGCGATGAGTGACGTAGCCAACTTGTTTGATGGCATGGCATGGCGTCGCATCGGATCCTGTGTTGTAAAGTTGAAAGGGTGTCAAGATATTACTGTTGTAAGGCGAGGCCTGCTTGTACATACATGTGCAATAGGGGGCATGGTCTTTCACATGGGTTTGTATGTGCATGTGGGAAAATGCAAGCATGGCTGTAGCGTGTATTCTCATGGTGGAGTGGCAGATGCACATGGGAGACAAGGGTGCAGGTGTGTGGTATGTACGTGTGTGCACGAGGTTGCATGTGGCACGTTTTGGGGTAGCGCGTGCATGCAAGGGTGTGCACAAGGGGTGTGAATGGGTGCACATGCATGTGAGGAGTTGTAAGTGTGTGGCATGAATCTTCTGTGTGCAAGGGTACAGACATGGGCTGGTGTGTGCGCCCATGTAGGGGGCCAAGGATCTGGAGTGCAGGCACATGCCAGGTGCGCCCATGAACCTGGCAGGGGGTTGGTGCTTTTAGCAGACATTCCCATGTAGCCAAGAAGTAAGTGTGTGGCATGGCTATTGTGTGTTCACACAGGCTGGTGCATGCACGTGGATACAGGGACAGCGTGCACCCTGTACGCGTGTGGGTGTAGGAGGTGCAAGGGCCTGTGATGTGTGCACAGGTGCGTGCATGTGAGAGCCACGTGTGCACATCCCCACAGGACCCCCAACACTAAGTATTAACTAGTATTAATCTGAGTTGATGCTATATGGTAATCCCAGGGGGCGGAGCTCAAGGCAGAGGTGTGGCTAATAGGAGACCCGCCCCTTCCCCTTAGCTCCGCCCCCCACCCTATGACTCAGTAGCCTTCCTCTTAGCACTATCCCCTGGCTAGCTCAGGGTGCACAAATTCAACTAACAAGCTGCACTTTCCGTTAGTGCTGGGGCAGCAGAGAGCATGACCTCCTTAACTAGTGTTAATTAGCTTACTAAGCTCATTAGTCGGGTGGCTGCTTGTCTAGGCATGAAGCCAAGGTGGATCCTGATCCCCTAAGATCTCCCCCCTTGCCAGCACAGGGCACCAGAGGAGGGGGTGGCCCAGGAGCCGGGACCGAGGCAGAGGGGCTCGCGTGGGGGCTGCCTGGTGCTGTTGCCTGGGATTGGCTGGGGCGCTCGCCCCCAGTGGATCCCCTCCTCACTGGGCAGCCCCTGCTGAGTACTGTTGCTGATTGGCTGGTCAGTCCAGTCCGGCAGGCCCCCCTGCCTCTGACTGGCTACATGTCCAGTGCAGTTGGGACGCTTTCCCTGCTGATTGGCTGGTGTGGGTAGCGCCACTGGCTCCCCTCCACTGCTTGGCGAGTGATTCCACCCTGGCTGGATCTTCTCCTACGCTGCAGCTGATCCTCCCAGCCCACTGGCCGGCGATTCCCGTGCCCCTGGCTCTCCTCTGCTCTGACTGCCGGGTGCCTCCCTCAGGGGCGAGGGGGCTGGAGGGGGGTCCTGGCCGGGGGCTGGATCCCCGTGACCGCGTGTGACAGGCTGCTAATAAACCTGCGTGCTCCAACCTCGCCTGGTCGTGCAGCCTGGTGCCCCTGGGGGGCGGGGGGGCAGGGCGGAGTCGACCTACCCCCACAGGCTGACGGGCGGGGTTATAACCCTGCTGTTTGCCCTCTGATTCCCGGGGGGTGACGTCACCAGCCAGCCCTGCGGGAGCCCCACGCGGTCCGCTGCCGCGCTGGCTCCGCACACGGGTGTCCCAGCAGCCCCTGGGGCTAGGTTGGTGGCCGTAATCCGGGCGGGGGGTCCTAGCGGGCACTGCCGAAAGTCTCCCCCCAGGGGCCTCCTGTGTCGGCCGGGGTCCAGGCCTCGGGGGGAATA